GCTAATTTTTTCTACATATATTTTTAGCTGTCCAATTAATTTCTTTCCATTTTTTGGTAGAGACGGGGTCTCGCTCTTGCTCAGGTTGGTCTCGAACTCCTGAGCTCAGAATGATCTGCCCTCCTCGGCCTCCCAGAGTGCTAGGATTACGGGTGTGAGCCACCGTGCCCGGCCTATAGTATTTTTTTCTTAACATTTTCAGGGTTTTTTACTATTTTTATGTACTTGGGAAGTGTAGCAATTTAATGTCTGTTAGATTTCAAGAACAAAATGAATTTTAACTTTGATATTGATGGTCTGTGCAACAGAGAAAACATAATTCTTTAATTTGGTGTTTCTTAAAATGGCTTCTTATGGTGAATATCAGTAAATTTGCCATTAATAGGGACAATTATAGGCTTCGGTGAGTCCTGGAATAGAACATTAATAATACCTAATACTAATAGTTTTGTTATCTATATTATGAATATTATATGTTAATAGTGTAGTAATACTATTAGAGAAACCTCATGATTGTTAATAAATATGGATTACTTGGCTCATATTATATTACCATATAACCACCTTAAGGATTATCAGCTGCAGCTTCAATAAAAAATTGTCTATGACAATACTGTTACCCTTGTCTTTATATTTTTCCCTCCTTTTCTGAAATAAGTTTTTGTGAGATATTTTATCTGATTTTTTACCCTTGATTATTTTTTGGAGGGAGGTGATGGGGAGAAATTTTATCTCTAAAATCAAACCTTTAAATAAGGAAAACTACTAGGTCAAACTTGTTCACTTTTTTTTTTTTGTTTAGGCATCCTTTTCATTGGCTTATCTCTACTTTTTCTTTTGACTATTTGGTGGATTTTAAATAATTTGTTGAAGAGTGATTCTCCCTCATCCTCTGCAAACATTCCATAGGCGATAGGAAGAACTATGCCTCTGCCCAACTTTCTGAATTGCTGCCAGAAGAAGTTGAAGCGGAAGTGAAAGCAGCTGCAGAAATATCTATGGGAACAGAGGTTTCAGAAGAGGATATTTGCAATATTCTACATCTTTGCACCCAGGTAAATTATATTCGTGTAGAATCTAGTGGGGTTACCAGCTCTATAATGCTAATTTTCTGATGGCAGTGATGATTTTTACACTTACTGTTCACCTGATCACATAAATATGAGGGTGTTCAGTCACTACCTCATCTGATGCCATCATGATTTGTATATTTAAAGGGGGAAATGTATACTAAAATGAAATAATTTGTATTGTTAGCATGGTCTAAATAGTAACCAAAAATCCATTAACAAGACAGAAGGGTGGGTTGAATTATTTAATTCTGAGTTTTATATCTGTGGCTTGTAGTAGTTTCTTTCCCCCTCAGATTTGGAGATAGCTGTATAGAAATCACAGAGAGGGTGACACAAATGTCTATTCCTTGAAATATTTTAAAATATAACAATATTGCCTAACATTTTCAGGTGATGTACTAAGTAGTTTATATACATTATATAATAAAGTCCTCATAATAGCCATTTTATAGAAAACTGATATTACGAGTAATTAATGTACCCAGGGTCTTGTAGCTACTGTTTGATAATTTAGGGCTCCAATGCTTTAGATTTTTTTTTTTGAGAAAGCATCTCACTCTGCTTCACAGGCTAGAGTGCAGTAGCATCATCATAGCTCACTGCAACTCAAACTCCTAGGCTTAAGCGATTCTCCTGCCTTGGCCTCCTGAGTAGCTGGGACTATAGGCATGCACAATTTATCTTTTTCTTTTTGTAGAGATGGGATCTCGCTCTTGTTCAGGCTGGTCTCGAACTCCTGAGCACAAGCAATCCTGCCACCTCATCCTCCCAGAATGCTAATATTATAGGCATGAGCCACTGCTTCCGGCCACAGACATATGAATTTTATACTGTTTTTACTCATAAGGTATTTGTGACTTACTCATTTTATGCCTTTATTTCTAGGTGATTGAAATCTCTGAATATAGAACCCAGCTCTATGAATATCTACAAAATCGTATGATGGCCATTGCACCCAATGTTACAGTCATGGTTGGGGAATTAGTTGGAGCACGGCTTATTGCTCATGCAGGTGATAATTTTGATGTAATTTGTAAACATGAGTTTGAAGTTGAGTTTTCTGGCTAGGTTTTTTTTTTTTAAATCTTGACAGCAAGTAAAGAAATTTTAGGTAACTAAAATATCAAGTAGGTGGTATGTAGGTGAGGGCTAAGGGCCAAGTGTTCAATGATGATTTTTGTTTGTTTGCCTGATTTCCTTTTGGATAATGAAGGCATCTTTAGTCACTACCTCTTCTGAGACACTTGTGGCCCATTGTTAGAAGTTTGTTATGATTTATTAGAATAATCAGATGAATAGAGCATAAAATCAATTAACATTTTCACAATATTAAAAACTCATCAATGGGGGGGCAAGGGCAACATACGTAACCTAAATATCTGTACCCCCATAATATGCTGAAATAAAAAAAAGCTCATCAAACCAAGATTTGACTGCAATTTTAAGAAATCACAGGTGTTGTATACTCTTGATTATCTCTGTTTTTATTGAATATGCTCTTTCAATATATTTGACTTTCATAATTATTTTGAATAACTGATTTATAATAAAAACACATGTATGGTGATATTGTAAGGAATGACATGCTACCATTAAAATGCTGTATAATTAAATACCTGTAAATAAAATGAAGTGCCAACTCATTTTATATTACTGGAGTCATTGTTATAATCGATCACAACAAATCTTATTATCTACATCAGTGTTTAAAATGGAATAACTCCTTTAGCTGCATCGTTAATCAGGTGAATAATTTTATTCAAGTGCCCTCACCTACAAGATCAGATAATTTTGTTGTCTTTACCCACAGTTTCATGGTTTAGCTAAAGTTGTAGCATAAGAAATGCAGGGATTGACAAAAGTATGTGTTTCTTGCACTTTAAAAAATGTCTCTAGTGGTTGAGTTCATAGTATTAATGTTGAGTGTTTTCTGATACAGTATATTCTATGCAGCAAATGCAACTAAGCAGCATCTTGGTAACTTAGTATAACAGCACGCC